GTAGTCGGGCATGTAACGATAGCAACATACTACCAACTTTAATTCTTTATTATTATTATTATTATCATCATTATTATTACTACGATTCCTAATTCTATTTTCAACAATTCTCCGAGATATCAGTATGGAACAACAAACACACAATGCATGTGCATGTGATACAAGGCCTCACATACATTGCATGTGATGAGCGAGTCCTATGTGTTGACTCTTGAGATGGGAATGTTGAAAAAATTTGCAGAGGATAATTTTTGCCGGCTTTCTTAAAGTTTATAAGTTTTTTAAACTGAGGTGTTTTTTTTAAATATGAATTTAAAACTGAAATGTGAAATAAAATTACTGAATTATAGAATCTTTCACGGAACATTGTTATTTAAGATATAAAAAAAAATTTCAATAATCCCAAATATGACACTGTTATTATGATGAATCTGTTTAAATACAGGATTAAAAATTGATTCGCTAATTTATTTCTGCTTCAAAATATATTTAAAAGAATTATAACTACTATTTAATAAAATAAATAGGACGATGTTAGTATTTTTACTAATTTTTGTAATAAATGTTATAATCCTCAAAATAAAATTGTCAAAATGTCCCCTGTATATACGCGACTTGATATTTTATGTAGCAAACCTTTTAAACATCCCTATCCTCAAATCCCATTTCGGCTTTCCGCTTTCCATTCCGGATCTTTAGAACAAAATAAGACGATGTTTCTTGTTGAGTTTTTTCTGAAAAGAAACTAAAGATTCCTCTTTTTATTCTAAATATCAAGATGTTGAAGTCGGTTGGAGTCGGAATTTTTTGCGAGGTTGGAGCCGGACATTTTTCACCTCACTCTGGGTGCTCCTGAATTAGCAGTACGTTTGGCGCTATATGAATGTCCATACAAACACACATCACACACACATGCATACACATACAAACACACACACATACATGCATACACATACAAATACACACATATACAAACACACACACACAAATACATACACATACAAATACACACATATACAAACACACACACACAAATACATACACATACAAATACACACATATACAAACACACACACACACAAATACACACACATACAAATACACACATAGACAAACACACACACACAAATACACACACATACAAATACACACACATACAAACACACACACACACACATACATATTGAAAAAAAATTAATAGCGTCAACAATATTGAAAATATTAAAAATTAATAAAGCAAAATTGTAACATAATAATGAAAGTGAGATTTAATTATAATAATTGAAATTAAATTAATAACAATAATATTAACATTTATAGTAGTAATCTCAAAAATAATAACAATAAAATCATTAAAGACAATTAAATTATCAATAATAATAATAACAATAATAATAATAATAATAATAAAAGTAATAATAATAATGATAATAATAATAGCGAAAGTGAGAAAAGAAAGAATGAAAGAAACACGAATAAAAAAGAAGAGAGAGAGAAAGAGAGAGAGAGAAGGAGAGAGAGAGAATCATTAATGATTATTTCTTCTTCTTTATCTACTTGCATATTAAATGACAGATATTATAACAATCACATAAACCATAGGCATCTATGAACCTATAAATTTGTATGGGCTTTTAACACGATAAACACACACACGCATACATATAGCATACATACACTATACAATTTCTACATATTTGTACATATATTTATACGTACATGTATACATATTATATATACCTGTATGTGCCTCTGTATGTTTGTAAGTAGAGGTATTATATGAATGTTTTGTGTATATGTAAAATAGATACATATATAGTTACATGTATAGTTATACAAAACACTATGTACGTATATTACAAAGAAATATATTGTATAAGTTATATGTTTGTATGTACGTTTGTATATATGTAAGTATGTTTGTATATGCATGTATTTAAACTCGTATATGTGTGTGTATACTGGTATATATGTGTGTACATATTTTTATGTGTGTACATATTTTTATGTGTGTATATAAGTATGTGTTTATTTAGCCTGTTTTTATTGCGTTATATGATCAAATGTGTACATGAATATTTAAAGATGGCATTACAATGGTAACGTTTATTCAGCGGGCTCATTCGCTCTTTCTTATTTGTTTGTATGTTTGTTTGTTTGTTTGTTTCTGTTACTGTAACTGTTGTTGTTGTTGTTGATGTAGTTGTTGTTTTTGCTGCTATTGTGGTTGTTGTTTTGTTTTTTTTTGTAATTTATGTTGTTGCCATTGTCGCTTTTATTGTTGTTTGTTGCTAGTGATGCTGCGGATCTTTCTTGTTTTGTTGTTGCTAGTTTTGTTATTGTTGTTGAAATTGTTTGTTTTTTTGTGTTGTTATAATGTTTATGTTGTAAGCGTTTTTTTTAATTTTATTGTTCACATTTTGGTTTACATTATTTCTATATATGTCTATACATTATTTATTTTTTGCTGTTTATGGTTTTGTTTTTCCATACTTTTTTTATGTATTGTATTTTTTTGTTTGCTTGTCGTTTATTTGTGTAGCTTATATACAATGTTGTTGTTTGTTGTTGTCTGTAAAGTTGTTGTCTTTTTTTTTTCATTCTGCGATTTTATTATTTTATTCTTCTTCTTCGTTTCTTCTTATTAACATTGTTTGTGATTTTCTTGATATATGCAGTTTGGTTGTCATCGTGGTTGTACGCCTGGTTCTCTCTCTTTGCTATTATTAATATTCTTTATTTTGTTTTTGGTCGGAAGCGTTTACAATGCGTTTAAATGTTGTTTGTTCATGTGTGTGTGTGTGTGTGTGTGTGTGTGTGTGTGTGTGTGTATGTGTGTGTGTGTGTTTATACGATTTAGTTTTTTATTGCTTATATTGTTTAATTTTGATATTTCTTTGGTATTGGCTGCAGTTATTGTTGTTTATATTGTATATTTTTGTTGTTTCATAGGTTGTTGTTTTTGTTGTTTATTTTTGTTGTTTTAAAGGTGGTTGTTGTTTGTATTGTTTAATTTTTATTGCTTTCACGTTTTTGATGTTGTTGCGTTTATCCGTGTGTGTGTGTGTGTGTGTGTGTGTTTACATGTGAGTGCATGTATGTGTATAGATATGTTTGTGTGTGTGTGTGTTTGTGCTTGTAAGTGTGTGTGTGTGTGTGAAAGAATTTGTTTGTGTGTGTGTGTGTGTCCTGTGTATTATTATTATTTTGATATTTCTGAAGTTGCTCTAAATTTACAACATTATTGTCAAATGTCTATTTTCGTAATCTTCATATGTTGTTGTTTATTTTTGCGTTGTTTAAATATTCAGTATGTTGTTGTTGCTGTTGTTGTCCATGTTTGTCGTTGCTAGTTGTTTGATTGTTTTGTTGTTGGTTTGATTTATTTGTTGTTTGTGAGTTGTATTTTGTTTTTTTTTTCATTTCTACGCGGTGTGTGTGTGTATATATGTATGTGTGTGTGTGTACATTGTATGCTGCTACGCGGCTAGTTAAACGGTTTCTCTTCAGAAATTCAATCACACATTTTTTATATATTTATTCACACTTTCGCTTAATCCTTCCATCAATTTATTCATTCATTCCTTCATCCATCCTTCTTTTATTCATTCAATCGTTCTTTCATTCATTTAGTTATTCAATCGTTCTTTGGGTTGTTTGTTTGTTGGTTATTCTGTTCATTCATTCATTTATTCATTTGCTTTTTCGGTCACTCATTTTTCTATTCAGAATTCACCAACTCATTCATTCGTTCGTTCATTCGTTCGTTCGTTCGTTCGTTCATTCATTCTTCATTTTTTCGTTCATTGATTTATTCTGTATTAAACAACTCATTCATTCGTCCCCTCATTCATTCATTCATCCATGCACTCATTCATCCACTCACACATCCATCCATCAATGCAACTCCCTCCATCACTTGCAACACCTCGGGCCAGCATAAGTTAAAATGACAAGAAAACAACTACGCTTATAATTCAAAACCCAATTTTTTTCTACTTCCAGTTCATTCATTCTTTGCTATATTTTTTTTTCGTTTTGCTTTCAGTGTCGTTTATGTTTTATCTCGTACATTTTAGTTTAGTTTTATTTAAGTTGTTTTTTTTTGTTTTCACCGTTTTTTGTTGTTTTTTGATGTCCATGTTTGTGTTTTGTCTATTTTGGTCTATTTTTGCCAGTTTGAGATCTTGTTGTGTAGTTTTGTTGTTTTTGTTGTTTTTGGTGTTTGTCGTGGAGTTTTTTTTGTCTTCGTCTGACGGGTGACACTGGAATGGGATGTGATGTATCGTCGGCAGGATTGTTTATTAACTTTGAAGGAATTCTAAATTATTCATGATAACCAAAATGACGACATTTTAAATGTTTACTCACGTGTATGTATTTATGTTTGTGTCGTGTATATATGTATTTATCTATGTGTCATGTGACTATTTATGCATAATATGTTTATGTATCTATGTATCATGTATCTATCTATATGCCGTACACTAGTATCTATATATCATTTGCATTTCTAAGTATCATTTTGTTATTTGTAATGTTATGTGCCGATTTATTATATTTATCGTATTTATATATATAATTATTATAATATATAATTATTATAATATATAATTATTATAATATATAATTATTATAATAATATATTTTATATATTTATCATATTGAATATTTATTTATTATATTTATATTTGTCTATCTATTTGTCACGTATCCTGTTTAAGTTATCATGTTTCTCTATTTCATGTTATTGCGTGGCATTTTTGAATGACCAATTTTTTTTCATTTTCGTTTGCAGATGCCGATCGTTCAATGATTTGAATGGAATTTAGACGGACTCGATGAAAAAGACGCCCACAACATTAAAAACGACAACTTTAAACTAGTCGAAAATGACGCCACAAGGGCTAACAACATCGGTGACACTGATCCTCATGCTATCTCTACATCTTATTTTGAGAGCGACTGCAGCAGGGACGACGATGAATGTCGAACTTCGGTACTTGCTTAAGGAAGAAGATCCGGTCGGTACTGTCGTCGGGAACGTTTCCAGAGACGCCTTCACCGACACCACCCACTCCTTCAACAACTTCACTTTCAAGTTCTTCACTACTCCTTCCATCGCCATCTCCATCGACGAGTTCACGGGCGTTATTTCAGTGCAGGGAAGAATCGATCGGGAAGCGATTTGTGGGAACAGTGGCGGAACTATCGGAGGAGTTGGGAGTGGGAAGACTGTCAGCACTCAGGTGCGATTGTTTGGTCAAAATCATCGAAACTCTATGAGGCCGAAAAAAATGGGAGAAAACTTTTCAGGCAGTAGTGGAGGTGAGTTCATGGATGGGTACGGCTACGACGTCCTGCCTAGTGAGCTTTGTAGAGTCCGCCAGGATGTGGCTGTGTATCCGGTGGAGTTTTTCAGAATCGTTAAGGTTGGTCGGCTGGCTAGTTGGGTTGGCTAGCTGGTTGGTTGGGTTAGGTTGGCTGGTTGGTTGGGTTGGTTAGTTAGTTTGTTAGTTGATTGGTTGTTTGATTGGATTGGCTGGGTTGGCTGGTTGGTCGGCTGGTTGGTTGGGTTGGTCGGCTGGTTGGTTGGGTTGGTTGCTTTGTTGGTTTGTTGGCTGATTGGTTGTTTGGTTGGTTGGATTGGCTGGGTTGGCTGGGTTGGATGGCTGGCTGGTTTGTTGGTTGATTGGTTGGCTGGCTGATTGGTTAGCTGGTTGTATGGCTGTTAGGTTGGTTGAATGACTGTCAAATTTGAGTATGGTTGAATTACTGTTGATCGATTCAATGATGTTGAAATTTTGTATTTTGATAGATTGATTATTTTAATTTTTATAGCAAATAAAATAAATAATTGAACTGAAATATTGAGCTAATAATATTTATAATAAATTATTTATAATGTTTAAAAATTAGCTGACAATACAAATCTTTTTCTTTATTTCATAACTGCATTACTAACTGTTAGAAAAACCAAAAATTACTCAAACATCAGATCAAATAATATGAGAAACTGAGATGAAATCATAATTACAGTCTCTCGACTCTGGCTAACTGAGATTTTAAAAATAGTGTTTGAGACAAAACAGATTTTTGGTTTTATATGCTTTTTGGAGAACATATTTTTTGAAGATAGTTTTTGTATCAAAATTTTTATAGAAAATAAATACATAATTACAAAAAGGTGATCATCGTAATTGAAGACATCAACGACAACGATCCAGTGTTCGGCCAGGATCGGATCGTTTGGGAGGTATCGGAATCGTCGCCGGTAAATCACACGTCTCTAATTATCGGATCGGCCATTGATGCCGATGTCGGTTATAACTCGGTTGTCAAATACGAGATGACCAAACTCGCGAACGAAGTAACGAAGAATGGTGTCTGGCATGGAAGGTACGACAACTGTTTCAATCTGACAAATGAGAAGAAGCTGGACGGATCTTCAGACGTATGTTTCAAAAAACTTTGTCCAATTTTGTTGATCAGTGTTTCAGAGTTGTCTCGCTGAGTGCCCGTTATTAGTTGTTTGTTTGGAAGTTTTTCTTTATAAAAATAATATGAACAGAACAGTTTTAATGCTTTTAATTTTTTTTACTGAATTTGTACGGTAATGATGTTCACGCGGTGATTAAATTCATCAACAACAACTTCAATGACCTTTTTGTTCATAAAATGTTTTTGTTAAAAAATTTTTTTCATTCCAACTAAAATAACTTAAACCCCTCATACTTCGCCACCAGATCAAACTCGTCCTGATAAGACCACTTGACCGTGAGAGCGTGGAGGAGTACTTCATCAGAATCGTGGCCTACGACGGCGGGTCGCCAGTTCGTTCGGGAGCTGCCAACATCACTGTAGTGGTCATCGACGCCAACGACAATAAGCCGAACTTTGAATTCAACAGCTACGAAGTGAGCACCGTTGAAAACACGCCCATCGAATCGACCATCGCTCGAGTGACTGCCCACGATCCTGACGCCGGTCCAAACGGTCAAATCAGTTACCACCTTGGTCCTAGTAGTCAGGCAAGTTATGGGGATGTCTTTCGAGTTGACGAGCTGAGTGGAGAAGTTATTGTCGTCGGTAACGTCGATTACGAGCGAGGTTCTGAGAATCGGTTACTGATCATTGCCATCGACGGCGGAAGCGAACCTCTAAGTTCCGAAACGACTGTAATTATAAAAGTTGAGGATGTGAACGATAATGCGCCGCAGATCGTTGTCAACTCGTTAGCGGCTTCAAATGCACGTGTAGCTGAAATTGAGGAGAATCAAAAAACGGGAACATTCGTGTGTCACGTGACTGTTAATGATATTGATAGTTCAACTTCCGGCAGATTTTCATGTTCGTTGATTGATGGAAGTGTTGGAAGCGATGGTGACGATTATGATGATGGAGGTAACAATGTTGCTGGTGATGATGATTGGAACGATGGTAATAGTGATAAGGAAGCCAAATTGAATGAAGTTGGGGCTGCTGACGCTGTAGTTTTCAACAATGCAAGGAGCAAAAAAACTAAAACAAAAAAAACTAAACAACAAAAAAAGAATAAACATCTAAGAAGAAGAAATATATCAAACAACTATCAGAGCAACAATATTGAGCCCAAACACAACACCATTCAACCGTTTCGACTCGAGCCAGTTGCAGCAACAGAGTATCACATCGTCAGCAATCAAGTATTTGACAGAGAAAGCAGTCCAACCCAGGTCATTTTGATCAAGTGCAAGGACCAAGGGGAACCAGCACAGACCACTATTAAGAAGATTACAGTTAACATTCTAGATGTTAACGACCATGCTCCTGTCTTCTTAAATTCATTTTATGAGACCGATATCACGGAGAACAATTTGATTGGGGCTGAAGTGTTTAGGGTACGCTTGAGTATGTTTGTATGTTTTAATTGTGTTTGTGTTTATTTGTTGTAATCGTGTTTGTTTGTATGTTTTAATTGTGTTTGTGTTTATTTGTTGTAATCGTGTTTGTTTGCTTCTTTGAATGTATGTTGTATTAGTGTTTGTTTGTTTGTTTGTTGTATTATGATTCTTAAATTGTTGTGACTTACCAGTATGTTTAAGATGTTGCTTTGTTATTACTGCCTATTATTTATATTGCTATCATATTTCTGTTATTTTTACTTGCATTTTGAAAATATTAATTAACATTTTTTCAGTTGTGATAACTAATAAGCATTCAATAAGTTAATATTGCCATCGATATAATCAATTAATTGTTCTCCACAGTTGGTTGATGTTTGTCTTTTATTGATTTGTGAAATTTTTTTTGTTTTCAATGTTCACAAGATGCAAACGTTTGTGCCCCAGTTTTGCTTTACAACTGATTATTGATATGGTTATCATATTAAACATGATTAATTTTTCAAAAAAAAATTGTTAAAAATATTTTTACTCGAACGAATTTTCTTGATGAAGCCTGTTGCAACAGAAAATAACGAAACAAATGTTGATATTCAAAAATGGTTGTTCACATTGGCAGGTCCATGCGACGGACCTCGATGCCACAGCTCCCAACAATGTCGTAACCTACCACCTCCTCAACGGTGGCGGTTCCCACCTTTCAACAGTAAACGCAACAAACATTCTTAATCCATCATCATCGGCAGTTGCTTCTATGACTGCTACCACAACTACCCCAGCCACAAGCGACATCGACAGTCATAATTACTTCACTATCAACAAGCAAACTGGTCTGATCACAGCATCCATTGAATTGGACAGAGAATATCAACCTCACTACACGTTGTTGGTGCAAGCAGTGGACGGGGGAGCGACTCCACTGATTTCCACTGCTACAGTTTTCGTCAGACTTCGCGACGTGAACGACGAGTGGCCGAGATTCATCCGCGAAGAGTTTCACTTTGAAGTGCAGGAGAACGCGCCAGTTAACAGCGAAGTAGGACAACTAGCCGCCATCGATCCAGACGAACCGCCCAACAATCATTTCAGATTCAGTTTTAAGCAGACATCCAACCTGGCATTTATTCCATCCGAGTACTTCAGGCTGGATGGCATCACGGGCAGGATATCGGCCCTGGTCTCATTCGACAGGGAGGCCACACCTCAATTCTCCTTCCAGGTCATCGTGGCAGACGCTGTCAGCGAGAAGATGTCCAACGTGGCCACAGTGTACGTCAGCATCCTTGACGTCAACGACTGCACACCCGTCTTCACCTTCCCGAGTTCCTCCAACCACACGTTGCATGTGTACAGCAATGCCAGACGCGACAAACTGGTGGCCATCATAACGGCTTCTGATGATGACGAAGGAGCCAATGGAGCAGTCAGGTGATCACAATGATGATGACGGCAAGAATGATGATGATAGTGATGACGATTATTAAAATGAATATTGCTATTAAATTGATACTAAATTTGTCTCTTTTTGTTATAATTTTTTATCGCTCATTTACATAAATGAAATTGTGCACACCAATCAAAACAAAACAAAAAGTTTGATGAAATATTGTTGTAACCCTTGACCTTGTAACTACCAACACCGATGTTATAACTTCAAAGATCTCTATATATATTTCCAGCACCAGTGTTGTAGCTCCCAACGATCGTCAAGTGTTCATTATTCCGTAGGTTCAAGATTTCCGATAGATGAACACAACTGCTTCAAACGCAAACTTTGTTGAACGTTTAATTGAATACCAACAGTAATAGAAACAATAAACTAATCCAAATAACTACATGAATCACATTTACGACTCCGCTTTCTCTTCTGGAGATCTCACTGCAAACCTGACTACGCAGGACCTCCATATAGCCTAGATTTTTAGCATGGATTCTTCACAATCCTCTAATCCAAAGATTATAAAGATGGAAAAAATAACAACAATTAGGATGATAAATAATATAGCACAATTCGATCATTCCCTCGGTTATAACAATATTATTAATAATGAAAATATAAGGATACCATTAAATATGACAGCATAGATAAATGTTTTCTTCATTAAATTTATTAAGAAATTTATTGAATCGTTATTCCATGCATAGCATCTTTCTAAAACAACCGCCCTGCCAGGTATGACATCATAAAAGGAAACGAGATGGAAATGTTCTCACTGGACGGCAAGTCCGGCAAACTGACTGTGAAAACGTCGTTGCAGCAACTGCAACAGCAGCAGAAACAACAACAGCAGCAGCAGCAACAACACAATGATAATAATTCTCAGCAAGACGCTCAACGTCAACAACAACAACCACACCAACACAAACATCACCTAAACATATCATCATTATCATTACTCATCAGCGCCACCGACAACAATGGCAACCACAAAACAGCTCTCAAATCATACACCTACCTCAACATCATCATCGTCACTCCTACCTCAGGCGGAGGTGATGATACGGACGACATGTACGCCAACGATTACACTGATTACGATTACGACACTCAAAGCACGTGGTTCGGTAAACCATTTCCGGTTAAGAAATTGAAAAAAATGGCGGTGTGGATCGTGGCGGCGATATCGGCTGTGGTTGTCGTCTTGCTGTTGGCCGCCATTGTTATAGTGCTGTGCGTACAGAGACAAAATAAGCGCTACAACAATAGCGACAACAATGTAGGTAGTTATGATGACGATGGCGATTTTAAGACGACATCTTTGAAGAAAAATTTTCACAGCAACAATGCGAGGGTAATTGATAATCCCATGTGCGTAACCGCCAGTAGGACATTTATCTACAATCCTTCCAGCAGTGCTAACGACTGCACTGGCAATAATAATAACAACAACAACAACAATAACCACAACAACAACAATAATAATAATATATACTGTAATAATGGTACAATTAATAAGAGCAATTCGAATAACAACAATTCGAAATCTCCAGTTATTGTGAGAAAAGTGGATTTAACGGAATCAAGGTAGAGGTTTTGAATGTAATGAAATTTTGCGTTCCGTATCAGTTTTTCTGAATGAAGAATAATATGAGAATTTAATTATATTAATTAGATTATTAATAAATTATTAACAAATTTCCTTTTTACAATTATATTATGAAAATTATAATTCTTTGTGGCATAATTATTACATCGCATTTTGCTTCTCTGTTTTCAGCCCAAGTTTAAATGAACCGCTCGTGGAACTGAATGACAACGAGGCAAATGAAATTAAGGTTAGGTATTTATTATTATTATTATTGTTGTTGTTGTTATTGTTGTTGTCGTTATTGTTGTTGTTGTTGATGTTGTTGTTGCTGTTGTTGTTGTCATTATTACATTTACTAGAATTGCGATTATTTTCGTAGTCGTGATGTTGCTTTTTGTATTGACTCCATCATAATTCTTACAAAACCGCTGTTACAAATATTCAAATCTTTCAATTATTCATTTAATTGTTTCAACATTTGAACCAACACATCTATTGATATCTTGCGAATAAGGTTTCGATGTAGTTAAAACAACATAGGCGGTCCTTTCTTTAAATAATTCCCATTTAAAAAGTACTAGTAGCGCTTACAATATTACAAAAATTATATTACAGTAATAATTTTATTGAGATTGTAAAAAATGTTTTAAATTTTTTGTGTATTCAAAGTGAATAAAAATCTCTGAGAGCCAGAGAATGGTGCAACCTGCAAAATATAACATGTCAGACTAACCGCAAAGCATTAAGAGTTTGGTGGTATTACAACAATCCACCACCATGATGCTGAACGAGATTGAAAGTTAGGTAGAATGTTTTTGACAGTATGCAATGCAGCAGCCTGCTGAACCAACAAAACACTGAACCACTAAAAAACTAAAAGTGACGAAATAGGCCTAATAAAATAGAGCCGGCAACAGAGCGCCAAACCTTCCCTTCAAAACAACTACTACTGGCAGAAGTAACGGGCACAATAAAACACAAACACACACAAGCACACACACACACACACGCACGCACGCACGCACAACTTAGAACCCAAATGACGGAGCATTGGAACATTATCATCTTTCATCTGCAAAGCCAACTTAATGCGACATCACCTGTTTCCGTGGAAATAACGAGAATTGTCACTAAAGTGCCCCAACCATTGCTGCTGCGTTCGTGCCCTAACAGTCTATAAACCTTTCCATTGTATTTCTATTATTATTTACCATCGTACAAATTACCGTATCGAATATTTCTAATTCCTGCTATCACATTTACATCTACATATACTACAATTACTTCTTGTACTAGTAACTTACTAACACTACTTTAGTTACAAATTACTTGGATTCGAGTATACTCTACGCGATGTAATAATTGACACCTACAATCTGATACGTGCAAATTATGTTTGTGGTTTTGAAAAAAATTATGAAAAGTTTATTTATGTATTTATTGTATAAATATAGTCATTAATTATGCATAAATGTTTAAGTAAGTGATATGAATGTTATTATTTTTACTTGTTATTATCGCAACTAATATACTATAACTACGGTTACTGCTACTGTTGTTGGTACACTTATAAATTGTACCATACCACATACATGTGCACGAAATCATTATTGTACCATATATATATATATATATATATATATATATATATATATATATATATATATATATATATATATATATATATATATATATATATATATATATATATATATATATATATATATATATATATATATATATATATATATATATATATATATATATATATATATATATATATATATCTATTTACAATATTCTATAAATTCTACCGAATGTTTGGCGTTAATATGTTTGTAGTTCGTTTTTTCGATTTTTCTCACTAAGTTTTTTGGTGAGCGTTTAGTTTATTAAAATTCAAAATAAGTTTATTTTGAATTTTAATAAACTACACGTTCGCCAAAAATTTATAGAATATTGTAAAAATTATGGACTATTACCAACATATATATATATATATATATATATATATATATATATATATATATATATATATATATATATATATATATATAACTTAATGTGCGCGTATGGTGTCGTATTTACGATGGTATTTATGCGTATCAAATTGCATGCATGTATCATATTGTATTTTTTTAAATTTAAATTATTAAATAATAATAAATGTATTGGTTGATGGCTGTATGTATGTATGCATGTATGTATGAATGCATGTATGAATATATGTATGCATGTATGTATTTATGTATTTGTAAATGTTAAATGTATATATGAATGAATGTATGCATGTATTTATGTATGTATGAATGTATGTATGAATGTATGTATGAATGTATGTATGTATGTACGAATGTATGTATGTATGTATGTATGCATGCATGCATGCATGCATGTATGTGTATATATAAAGTTATACAAAAGGCACATACAAGCAGGCAGGCAGGCTCTTGTTATGGGAGGCATGGTTAGGTGTTAATACGCAATCAATCAAGGCGGACAACTAAAGCCCGCCAAATCAAAAAATATCTCTCCTCCAATTACAGCTATGCTTTCACGCTTCGCTGGATTGAATCACTGATAGATGGATGGATGGATGGATGGATGGATGGATGGATGGATGAATGGATGAATGGATGGATGTATGGATGGATGGATAGATCGATGTATGGATGGATGAATAGATCGATGGGTGACTTAATGAGTGAATGGATGAATGAATAAATAAGTAAATGAACGAAAAAGTTTTTTGATAAATAAATGTGTAGGTAGTTGATTGAATGAATGAATGAGTGAGTGAGTGAATGAGTGAGTGAATGAATGAATGAATGAATGAATGAATGAATGAATGAATGAATGAATGAATGAACGAACGAACGAACGAACGAACAAACGAATGAATGAATAAATGAATGAATGATAAAACACAGAAGAGCAAAACAATGAAATTTTATAAATAACGATTTAAGAGATATATCGAGCGAAGCCAATGAAGAAACGCAAAAAAATCCAACTACAAATCCGTAAAATAACAACATTCACAAGAAGAAGAAGAGAAGAAAAAAAGAAGAAGAAGAAGGAAAAGAAGAAGAAGAAGAAGAAGGACAACAACACCAACAAAATAATACATATTCGTTCATCCATCATACAGGCATAATCACTCGCATAGCGCCAGAAATGTGCTTCATACATAAACATGCTTACTTACATGCATTTATATATATATATATATATATATATATATATATATATATATAGATACATACATACATACATACATACATACATACATACATACATACATACATACATACACACATACATACATACATGCATGCATACATACATACATACATACATACATACATACATACATACATACATACAT